TTTTTGTTTATTACTTTTTTAATCAAAATTTTCCCTCTAACAAGACAGTCCTAAAACTTAATTTCTGTTCAATTACATCCCCTCACGACTGTACGGATTTATACGTCATGACCGATAGTAATCCCTCATATCGTCGGCGAAGACGTCTTTCCCTCCATACGCATTACACAGAATTCAGATCGATACAAATGGAGAAAACATCTCCATTTCCGATCAAATCAATTTATCTTCTTCTTAAAATCAGAATCGGAAGCAATAATTTTTATAGGCATCGCCGGCTATCAATCTGATCTTTAATTCCATTAGCTCGTTCTTCCTCGACGTTAACATCGATCTGGCGGAATCCTAATCCTTCCTGCGTTGCAGCATTGCAGTGCTAGTGCCGGGACACCGATTTCTTGAAATAGACGAACCAGGAGCTGAGGAGACTCTGCAAGATAGGCACGTTCAAGGCGTCGACACCCCTGCAGCACGGTGGATCTTGATTCCGATTAACCTCTGCTTGAGCTCCTTTAGATTCTTCCTCCAACATCAACCATTAATGGATCAAAATGCATGCGGTACCCAGATTTGTCCCAACAACTATTAAATTTTTTATTTTTACTCCTTTGTTCTGAATTTCCCCCATTTTTTTGGTTGAAATTTTGACGTACATACAGGTATTGTTAACTGGGTTGTTTGGTATGATGCCATTAGCCCTAACTTACTGGTTTGGTTTGAAATTTTCAGATTATGTACTGGGGCACTTTAACAGTCAATACTATCAGATGATTCTCTTGGAATGGCAGCAAATGAGCTGAGGACTTAACAAGGTAGAACGCCTATAACAGTTGCTAGAGCTATTGTTTTACATAGTAGCTTACCACATTTGAAAACTTATTGTCTAGTGTAATTCATATAAAACCAAACAATTCCAGGCTTTTGCTGATAATATTAAAGCTTTAACAATTATATGAGCCATTTGAAGTCTCTTATCTTTGTATAAATCAGAAAAGAATTAATTAGGTTAACATATGTCTTCTAGGGAGTTATTAGTTTAATCCTAGTTTAGGATTAAATGGGTATAAAGAGTGTTTGAATTTTGAAAGTTATTTGAGTTGATTTGGATGTGAGTGATTTGGAGAAATTCCAAATATTGTTATAATGTGTGCGAGCATAATTGCTTTGTAACTTTGAGCAAGATAGAGTTAAATAGAAACAGTGATTTTAAGATATTGCTGTGCTGTATATTTGATATCAAATCATTGCTTTAGATTTTCTTCTTTTATATATTTTTATTATTTTGACTTGTTAAAATCTTTCATCACATGATTTGATATGCATAATTATCAATTCATCGTCTCTATAGTGGCTTGGTTATTATATCTTGTCATCATGAAAGTTTTGTCATGACATTGAATGTCAATTGTCTGTTGCTGCAATGTGACATTATTCTATTAGGTCAAACTTCTTTTACATTTTTCTTGGAATCTTGGTTTTTGTTGATGACAAATAAGAAACTTAAGCTTTAAGGCTCTTGTTGATAAAATCAAATGGCTCTTATTCGGTAATTAATTTCTAAATTGCAATAGTTCTATGTGCTGAGAATCTGCTACCAGGAGAATTCAGGTAACAAATTCATATCTTTTGAGTGAAATGGCTGTCAGAAGATAATAAGGTATGTCGAGGTTACAACTTACAAGTTGATAATCAGCTACCTAGAAGCCTATTGATCTTTCTAGGGGAATTTAATTTGACTTAATTTAGCAACACGTATTCAAACAACAGTGTTATTTTCCTTGCTTACTTTCAAAACAATGATCATGAGCAAGGGAGGCTTACCTGTCTTTTTGTATTGGCTTTTTTAGTTGTCCCTTTATCAGCTGAAAATGAAGTTTTGCAGAATCATTTATGAAAATTTGATTCGAGCTCTGCAACAAGTGGGAATTTGGCCTGAGAAATTGTCCAACTTGAGTGGAACTATGGAAGAATATCTGCCAGAACAATCCTCTCATCCGAAATAAGAAACTGTCCTGTCAGCCAGTGTTCCAAAAGACCTTTCAACACAGAGAGCACATGCAGTTGACCTGATGGGACTTAAAACAACGAAATATAGTGTTATTTATCTTAAGAGTTCTAGTTCCTGTTTTGCTGTCCGAAATTTTTTGGATAAGAGTTCAGCATCTAATATTAAGAAGTCCGTCCTTATCTAATGATTTTAATTGTGACTGCAAATACTTTTTTGTTATTTTAATTAATGTTCTGTCATCATTTATTATTATTGCTTTTTAAATGGCACTCCAAAGTCAATTTCACCATAGCATCCAACCGCAAGCAAGTTGGACATTGTGAGATTTGTTTATTTTAATTCTTTTCTCTATAATATGGAGATTTTATTTCCAATAATGACATTAAATTATTTCTGGTCTAGAATATGAACAGCCTTTCTGCTTTGTGTGGCAGTGCAAAGGAAGGAAGGAAGAGAAAGTCATATGATGATAATGGATGAGGGATCCATGCCGTGGAAAAGCAATTTCCAAAGTCAAAAATGTTAATCTACTGTGATGTTGCGAATGGGGAGAGAGTTTGATGCAGGAGCATCCTATTCCTGAAGAATGAGGTTCTTTCACCCTCCACCACAAAACCCCTTTTTTGCCTCGTTGACTCTTGGATTTAGTATTTTATTCTTTTATATATCCGAGCCCAAAAGTTAGAGAGCCTTCTAAGGCACTCTTTCTCATTTGGCTTTTGAATTCCCATTTGTTGAAAAATAAGAGAATCCTAGGCTTTTAGTGGTGTGGCCAATGACCACATATTTCTATTCTTGTTACCCTGTACAACAGATTGGGGCCCCCCCTTATAAGTGAAGTACTAAAAACCAATATTTATGAAATGTCTCTGGTACTCGTACTTGCACTGTGCTAGTGTATGGTACAAATGCTGCACATTGTTCATCAAACTCAAAATTGTTTCATTTCCTTTTGAGGGATCTAATTAAGAATGATTTCAAAAACTACAGTAGGGCTTACATTTGCAGGCTTTGGTTTAGAAACATTTTTTACTGTCCATGCATCTTGACTTTAATGTTGTGTACATCATTGGTTGTAGTACTATTACACTACCAAGGCATTATTGAGCATGAGAACATTTTAATTTCACAATAGAACATTCTGTTTCTGGCTAGGCTTTTTTGACATTTATTAAATTCAATATTCGATTCCCTCATTGCTGCTTCATTAGTTCATTTACAAGTATCTGTTCTCTCAGTACTGTGCATCTATATATGTCTTCTTCAGGTCAAGGTTTGATCTACAGAAATTGGTTTCCTTTTGCTACTTGTTTGAAAATGGTGGTGGACATCCAGAGCAAGCTTCGCCTAGCTCTTGGCTCGGTAAAGGATCACGCTGCCATCGGCAAGGCCATGATATACAATCATGATGGGAAAGGCTTTTCCGACATAGAGATTGCTGTTTTACGTGCAACCGGCCATGATAATGGCACTATAGAGGACAAGTACATGCACGAGATCCTCTTCCTGGTGTCAAACTCCCCAGGATCCACCCCTTTTCTTGCTGAAATGATATCCCGTCGTCTTTGCAAGACCAGAGACCATGTCGTAGCTCTCAAGACTCTTTTCCTGATTCACCGTCTCCTCCGTGGGGGAAATCGCTGCTTCGAACAAGAGCTACGTAGTGCCCATGTCTCCGGTCATCTCCAGATGAGCTCCCAATGGTTCCAGAGGAGTTCCGATCCTTCCCTATTCTTCCTACACAAGTATGCAGCTTATCTTGAAGAGAGAGTGGGATGGATCATTAACCAAGCTGGTAAACTTGAACCTGTTATGTCCAAAGGTCTGGAATCCCGATCTTTTGGAGATAAGTCTGTCCTTGACCTGGTATTTCGGAAGTTACCTATATGTCAAGCTTTTATAGACAGGGTGCTGGATTGTTCACCTCTTGATATTTTGCCTTTGGACAACCTGGCTGTAGCAGCCATGAGTAACACGTTGAAAGAGAGCTTTCAAGTTTACATGAAATTTTCAGAAGGTGTTGAAACTCTTCTGAACTTGTTCTTCGACTTAACAAGGCCTGCAAGAGCTCTTGCCTGTGAGATTCTCAAGAGAGCCTCAGAGCAAAGCCAGGGGCTCCGTGACTTCTATGAGAACTGCAAACGAATTATTGAGAACAAGAACCTTGATTATCCTTGTGTACAGGTTATCACGATGGATCATATTTTAGCGTTGGAGCAGTGCTCAAGCATCGTGTTATCGAGTTCCTTTGCTTCCAGTGATTCCTCCTCAACTTTGGCTCGTCGTGCGGAATCAACAGGCTTGCAAAAGGAGAGCAAAAGGGTAGAAAGTGGTGATCTATTCTCCCTTGCTCTTGAAACCAAAATAAGCAAGGTATGGGTGGTTTTTGATGAAGATGAAGATGATAAATCACCTCCTTCTACCCAACCAAAACTAGGTAAAGCTGTGAATAACATAAAGATTGGAAATAGTGAGCCATGGAGTTTTGGCAATCCTTTCTTATAATATTGGAAGAAGAGTTTTGTTTGTATCATTACTATTATTATTATTATTATTATTTTGTATTTCTCTATGTTGTCCAAGAAACCACTAAACTAAAACAAAACCGTGGCAACACTTAGAATAATGCAACAATCATTTTAATTGTAATTAAAATAATATAAATACAACATTACGTGCTATTATAAATTTATAATTATAATATATCATTATATATTATATATATTTTTAAGTTTTACTCTTAATATTATATATGTCTATTTAATAACAAATCATAATTATATGTGAATACATAAGTACAGTAGGAGGGAGTAATAATTGTTGTAAGTAATGTGAGTTATTGGAAAAATGATTGGTATACTCTCAGTTCAACATATTTTTTGATATAATTTTGGTTTAATTATTAAAAATATAATATAAATACAATCAATTCAATCGATTTTTGTATCCTTTGTGCATAATTATATCATTAAATTTATCTGTCTTTAATTTCAGATTAAATAATAATAATTTTTTAATGAATGTGTCATACAGTGTATTGAACCGAAGTGTGTATCAATCATTGTTTGAGTTATTGTGTGTGGTAATTCGCTTGTGAGAATGTAATATTTTTAGTGCATGTAAAATGTGGAGTATCCTTGTCTACTATTAATTTATCAATGTAAATAATTGATAACAAAAAAAAAAAAACATGTATTGGGTATAAATTTACATTTATATATAACATTATAACAATAATATTGCAGGTTTGATTAAGATAAATTATCATTGCTGGTAATCTTAGATGACTCCACAGCGGAGAAATTAAGAAAAACTGTCATTGCCGGGAATCAATGATCAATCAAGCCTTAGTGTAATAAATAAAGAACAGACTCAGATCCTTGGAGATTAGGTTAAATCCTTATTTTGATCTTTCCATTTTGATTAAAAGCTCTTTTTTAGTCCTTTTACTTTAAAAAAACCTTTTTTTTTGTCATTATAATTTAAAATCTAATCTCTTTTTAGTCTTTTTGTTAAGTTTTATGAACATTAATGATGAAAATTTAGTCTTCTACTTTGAAAAAAAAAACCCTTTTTGATCTCTCTCTTATGAAATTTTTGTTATCTAACGTCAAAACTTAACGGAGAAATTAAAAAAGGAACCAGATTTCAAACTTTAGTGACTAAAAAGGATTTTTTTTAAGTAGAGGGGCTAAGAAAATTTTTTTATTGAAGTAGAAGGACCAAATTTGGGGTTTTAGCCTGGAGATTATTATCTTTGCAAACAGAAGGAAATGACAGCAATTAATGGACCCAGTGGTGCTCGAATGCTGGGCCATAGAATTGGGCCTCGGGTTGTCTTTCAAAAGCCTAAAAAGAAAAACTGACCAAATGAACATGCATGAAGCCTCTGGAAAATGAGGGAAGAATCCTGCACCAGCATAATCATTCTCACAGTAATAAAGCAGCAGCAGCAGCTAGAACGTTCCCCATTTCTCTACAATAAAAAATCTCCCTTCAAGTTTCTTATATATAAACCCTTCATTTGAGGCAGATTACGCAGAAAGCAAGTTTTAGCTGAAATCAAAGCAGCCAGCATCTCAGAGAGAAGGAAGAGAGAAAATGAGGCAGCTTTCCTTTGTGTTCAACTTCATGCCATTACTACTAATGGTTATGCTATGTTTTCCTGGGTTGTCAAACGGGTCTTTGATCCCGTTCCTTGATCGTCCAGGCAGCCTGTTCTCTGATCTCTGGCAGGATCGGTTCTTAGACCCGTTCCGTGTCTTGGAGCATGTCCCATTAGCATTAGACAAGGATGAAAGCTTGGCGCTTTCTCCAACCAGGGTAGATTGGAAGGAAACACCGGAGGGTCACGTTGTCATGTTGGATGTGCCGGGGCTGAAGAAGGATGAGCTGAAGATCGAGGTGGAGGAGAACAGGGTGTTGAGAGTGAGTGGGGAGAGGAAGAGGGAGGAGGAGAAGAAGGGTGATCACTGGCACCGGGTGGAGAGATCATACGGCAAGTTCTGGAGGCAGTTCAGGTTGCCAGACAACGTAGATTTGGATTCTGTCAAGGCTAAGCTTGAGGATGGAGTGCTGACTCTGTCGTTAGCCAAGTTGTCACCTGACAAAATCAAGGGTCCAAAGCAGGTCGCCATTGAGGGAGGAGAGGATGAGACTGCAAAGCTGCAGAGTGGTGAAGCCAAGCAGGAGCTTTGAAAGCTTTTTCTCCTCCACGCGAAGTTGTTGAGACTTTAAGAGTGAGGTTTTGAGAGGAGTACCTGTAAAGGAATAAAAGTTTATCTTGACTTCACCATTATGTCTAAATTCGTGAATGTAATATAATAATATGCATTTGCCTTCTTAATTTGAGAACATTGCAAAACAGAGGAGAAAGGTTTTTCTTGTTGGCATAATAATAGGAGAAAAGTTTTCTCAGAAAAAATCTAATAAGTATCCGGTAAGGAAAATATTGTTTCAGATTAAATAGGAAACTAACCAAAATACAATGTGTTCTTTTATCAATTTAGTAACAAAACATTTGCTAAACATCTCCATATCAGTGGTCCCTTAAGCAGTATACTACTATACTTACATGCAGGATGCTGTCCCTCCTTCAGATACTGATGCCTTCTTCTGGCAATGCCCTTGTGTTAAATGATCAGTAAATGAAGCATAAACGAAAAAATTTTGAAAAATAACCTCAATCTGCTTTGACCTCATATCATTTACTTATAACTTTGAACTTCATTTTCTGCCACAAAGCAGTGAAGGTAGAAGATTTATCCATGATTACAGATGCATTCAAAACTCTTAATATATCTGCCGAATTGCTAAATATAGTCCTGTTTTTTTCTCAACAGAAGCCACTTAAGTTCAGGCTTCACAAGCTTACCAGAAAACACCGTATCACAAGAAGCATTCATTGCTTGTGAATATCATCAAGAATGGATGGAGGTGAATCAAGCCAAACATTTTTCAGAACCATATATACATCCAATGTTGTAGGAAGCATCTTATCAGCAGAATATAATTGCTGAGCTTTCATTAAATTGTGCCTGAAAAGCTTGACCGGGATGCAATATATTAAAAAGAACATTCAGATTTTTGAACCAACCCTAGCATGGCAGCACCAATAAAAATTGCCAGAGAACCAAAGCAGTTCTAAGCTAATACAAACCAACCATAATTTCAAGAATCTTGTATATCTCCTCTGTTCTAGGATGCGTCTTATCAACAGAATAGAACTGATGAACTTTTTTCTCAACCTCAATCCAACTGCAGCCTGGGGTCTTGTAAGCATTTCTTTCCTTTAATACTTTTCTAACATTCCGCACTTCATCCCACTTGCCCAACTCACCATATAAATTTGCCAACATTATTCCATAACCACCATTGTTTGGATCAATTTCAATCAGTTTTTTCACTGCAAATTCTGCCAACTCTGAATGGCCATGTATTTTACACCCATTAAGCAATGAGCCCCAAACAACCTCGTCAGGTTCCATTTTCATCCCCCTCACCACTTCGAATGCTTCTTCAAACTGACCTGCTCTTCCAAGAAGATCTATTAAACAGCCATAATGCTCAATCCGAGGTTCAATATTATATTTCTTAGTCATCAAATCAAAATAAGAACGACCCTTTTCAACCAGTCCCCCATGGGTACAAGCATTCAACAAACCAATAAAGGTTACAGCATCTGGTCTAACATCATCATTTTCAAACTGCATCATCTCCTCAAACACATTCATGGCCTTCTCACTTTGGCCATGGAAAGCAAAACAATTGATCATAGAATTCCAAGAGGTCATACTTTTCATGGAAGTCATTTCAAAAGCCCTTCTTGCTGTTTCCAAGTTCCCACATTTCCCATACATATCTACCAAGGCATTAGATATAAAACACCCAGAACCAATATCATTTCTATAAACATATCCATGGATAGACTTTCCCAGCTGAAGCATGCCAGTGTGACCACAGGCCGACAGCACACACACAACAGTAACCTGATTAGGCCTATACCGTGGAAACTTCCCCTGTTTCGTGAGCATTATCATTCTTCTAAATAGCTCAATAGCCTCCGTAAAAAATCCATTTTGCGCACATCCTGCAATCACAGCATTCCAAGACGGAACATCTCTCTCGGGCATTTCCTCGAACAGATGCATAGCCTTCTGAATATCCCCAGCTCTAGCATACCCCGAAACCATAGCAGTCCAAGACACAACACTTCTCTCAGACATATCATCAAACAAGTATCTTGCAATCCCAATATCAGAACTCCTCCTCGAATATGCATCAATTAGAGCCGTTTGCACAACTGGGTATTTCCCAAAACCAGATTTAATTACATGAACATGCACCAACTTTGTACCATGAGGTTCCAAAACCTCCGGACTGGACTTCAAGACATGAGGGTAAATGAAGTGGTTAGGGTGGGGGGGTCCTCTCCGAATCATGTGACGGTAGAGAGCAAAAGCGGATGCGTGATCTGGGTGAGCGGCGTAGGCGGTGATCATGGCGGTGTATAGGTAAACATTGGGGGAGCGGAGGTGATTGAAGATGGAGCGAGCATAGTTGAGGTTGCTGAGCTTGAGAACGCAGAAACGGACGAGTTTGAAGGCGTAGAATTGGGTTTGGGAATGGCCGAGGGTGATGAGGAAGGATTGGAGTTGCTTCAAATGGTTGAGGTGGCTGCATCTTTCAAGGATCGCTAGGACATTGTCGTGTAGTCGTTGTCCTGGGACGGAGACAGAGAGCATGTTTCTGCTCAAAAATGACGCATTTCGTTATTTGGGATCTCCCTCC